TTTCTGAATTTCTGAATTTCTGAATTTCTGAATTTCTGAATTTCTGAATTTCTGAATTTCTGAATTTCTGAATTTCTGAATTTCTGAATTTCTGAATTTCTGAATTTCTGAATTTCTGAATTTCTGAATTTCTGAATTTCTGAATTTCTGAATTTCTGAATTTCTGAATTTCTGAATTTCTGAATTTCTGAATTTCTGAATTTCTGAATTTCTGAATTTCTGAATTTCTGAATTTCTGAATTTCTGAATTTCTGAATTTCTGAATTTCTGAATTTCTGAATTTCTGAATTTCTGAATTTCTGAATTTCTGAATTCCTGAATTTCTGAATTCCTGAATTTCTGAATTTCTGAATTTTCGAAAATCTGAATTTTTGAAGTTCCGAATTTTTGAAGTTCTGAATTTTTGAAATCTGAATCTTTGAAGTTCTGTTCATCTTAATTTTCAAGTTCCGAATTTCTGTTTTTTTAAACTTTGATTTTCTTACAGTAATCCCCTCTATTTTCCATCCCATTCATCCTTTCACCTCCTCACTCTCCAATTCGGATCTCAAAATATCATTCCCCAACTCAACCCGGTAGTCTGAGACCTTTTTTGTGCTCTATTCTGACTCAAATGCCTTTTTTAAATCTCCAAAAATAAAATTTGCAAACATGTAATTTGTTCCGAAATCTATGATCAACTAGTTAAAAATTTGAAACTTTGAATTCAAAAAAAATGATGAGAATGAATCATGGAACCTTTTAAATGCTGATATATAATTAGGAAGGACACCAAACCTCAACTATATATTTGGAAAACAGAACGAAATAATTTGAAAAATGAATTTCAAGAAAAAAGAGGGACCATCCTATTAAAGTGGATGAGAACTACCGTCAGAGGAAGAAGAGAAAGGGATTTTAATCTTCCAAAAAGCTTTTTTGTCTATTTTTGGGCTTCTGGTGTAGTTCTCAACAAATTTCTAGAATTTGCACTTGTCAATCTGTAAAGCCCCATGCGTTGCGGTCACCAACTGAGTAGCGACTCGCCAGCAACCTTACTATCCAAAAATCGAGTTCTGCACATCCCTTATCATCGCTGGCACAATTACTATCAGATTCATTAGCACCGACTACCCCTTTCCGAGTTAAAATGTGATTCACTTTCTTCTCCCTGAACAACAGCTCGACTTGGCTCGTTGCCAAGGCTTGGTCATTCCACTAACGAAGTGAATGCGCTCTCACAATATTCTATGATTGTATTTTTATTGATTTGCTTTGATTTCTTGTATCTAGTACTTCTAAAGGACTAAGACCCAGTTTTTGCCGCTTGGTCCACAGCCACCATGACCTAGACCGCGGTCCCTATTCCTGTATTTGGAGCTCAATTATCTCAATTTCTGTTTGCGATACCAAAATTTTGTAAATTGGTAAAAAATTGGTAAAATTATAACAAACATTTTATTAGTTGGCAAAGTTTTGATACCTCTTAAAGGAACCGAGATAATTGACCTCAAAATTGGCAGAGCTACGACCGCTGTCTTCTCGACCGTCTAGCTGTATTCTTGGTAAAGCTAGCAGAACACTAATTTTGATTGGTGGCCAGCAGAGATGAGCGGAAGAGATTTACGGAAATTTACGGAAGACGGTTTATCTTCGAAATGAAAAATGCTACCAAAAAAGCTGTCAACAGACAAAATGTAGATCTCAATAAGAGCTATCGATTGGTATAAAAATTGTTTTGAAATTTTGTTGGATTATTTAAATAGAGTCTTTCTTCCGTCTTCCGTCTGGCACACGGAAGACAGAAGAAACGCCATATCTCAACTCCCCATCACTATATATGAGATAACTTTTATACCAATAAATAACTCTCATTGAGATCCACATTTTTTTCCGTTCAAAACTTTTTGGTAGCATTTTTCATTTTGAAAATAAACCGTCTTCCGTAAATTTCCGTAATCTCTTCAGCTCATCTC